TTCTTACGTGAAAGGACAAGCTAATTTTAAAGTAAAGAAACAATTCGCTTTTCAGTCTGATCTACAAATTTCTAATGATTGGGCAAACATTAATCATGGTGATCATTTCACTTTTTACTGTACTATAATACGAGCATATTTATTGGTTACTATGAATTTATAAGCACGAAATATTGCTTCCGTATAGTAAAATGTTTTACTAAATTATGGAATAAGATCCTTTAGGTAGAAGGATATGCTAGTTTTAATATAAAGCCTTACCTAATAAATAGCATAATCGATTATCTTAGAAGGAATCCAATGATTTAAAGATATCCATTACGATCTCTAAAAATTATCGATCAAATTATACACATAAACTGATTGAGATAGCGCATTTTTTTCTACAACTCGACACATTTAACCAAATACGTAAGTGAGTGCAGGATTGAATATAAATTTCTGAACTATTACCTTTGGAGTAATAATCACGTACGATTCGATCATAGTAGGATGAAACTGAAACCCTGCTGAAAATAAATTGAATGTTAATGAATGAAAATAGTTCACTTGGATCATAGTGGCTTACTCGTGTTGACCTCATACCGATAATAAATGGAATTCTATTCAAAGTAGCTCGCTGGCATTTTGGAAACGCAATCCTACTCTATCTTTCTAAAGACTGTACTTGTACTTGTTCTTCCTTTTTGATAGTAATACATTTACGTCATAAATAGCTTAACGGTATTAAATCCCTAGCCAGTGGATTACTCATAACCTAGTTCTCTTTATCATTATTTTCAAGACGCTTTTCAATAAATAGAAATAAGAGGCTTGTCCTGTTGTTAACAATACCATCATCATGAACATTCATGATATGCTGCTGATGGGCGTTGATAGTCTGTAAACTATCAGATTATATAAAAATATTTCACAGCATGATATGTCGTTCAGGGAGTGATGGAATGTAGATCGTAAAACAAACGTGATCTGTAATGAATGAGATTCCATAAAGCTCTGAGAAAATTAGACATTATATTGATACTTATAGACAAAAGTAGACAGGAAGACGTAGTCAGACTATCAAAATAATGAACTTATTTTGTATTGTAGAACTTTTTAGCAGTAATTCAATCTTACCCTATTGCAATAAAATCTCCAAATATGCCTGACTATAGTAATTTTAATATTTCAATACACCATCTTCTGTACTTAGATTAAAGGAAACTGATTCTTAAGATGGAATAATTTACCGGTCATGAACTGTCTATTTAGCCATTTTGTTCTACTGCCAATAGCGCTTACAAGTAACGTAATTATGCTGCCTCAAAAGAAGTATTAGCCTCGTTATCGTATAAAAAGTTGCATTTGGGCTTTTCTTGTATAGAAAACTTATCGTAGTTCAATTCCTAATTACTTATTCCCCTATGATTTATAGAAACGCTGTAGTGTGTTTTCACTTTGGCAGTTGTATGATATCGTAATGACCAATAGACTAACAGTAATTTAATGTACTGTGGCAAAGTGTACATACGAAATATTATAAGACCTTGATACTTGCCATTCTTTATGCATCCCTCTCTTTTGTACATTCTTACAACCTAATGCCCAATATGATCTATTTGGACCAGTACTGCTTGTACATTTCTTACTCACCGTTCCAAGACTATCTATAGAAATCCCGCTAACCAAATAATTTCCCTTTTAATTAGAATCTCATTTGCAAATTACATCATACCAATGCTGAAATGACATTGAGTAGTTATAGGAATTCAATAAACAATCATAGTTTCTAGAAGTTATTGCCTCATTACTTAAATTCTTGCCAATATAATTATCTGTACATGTCGACTTTTACTATCAATTTTTAATTCTGAATGAAGGCGAGATAATCTATTAACGTTTGAATCTTATTTTTCTCAATCCATAAACAGTAGTACAACTCTACAGCTAATCATCAAGTTTCAAATACCTGCCAATCTTGCTGTAACCGCTATCTTCATTTTAAATTGCGATAATATCGTTCGACAAACTCAAACTAAAAGCTTTTTCAAAAATAAACTCACAAAAACAAGTATACACCGATAGTTTGCATCATGGCCAGCTATGTACCTTGTCCTGACGTTCATCTCTTCGTTAGACTAAACCTTACGAACATTCTTTTTCGACCGTTAACTTCTTTTGAAATCAATGTTTCCATTACCTGGAGCGTTTTGTTTGGCTTTATTTTGTTAACTAGCTGCCTAATTCTTGGCTTAATCTTGCTGAAATCGTCTCTACGAACGTATAGTAATGCTATTCTGGCAAGCTTATGCTTAGCAAATATATTATATAGCTTTATTTATATCTTGCCGGTTAAGATAGTGTCAATCCGTAATTCACTAACTTCGTGGATTAATATTTATTGCCAGCTTGGTCACTCAATCTTTCAATTTTGTTTTATTTGCTGTATCAACTTTCATATATGTTTGATGGCATTGGAGAAATTACTGGCAATAACCAGACCAACTTGGCATTTACGTATGAGTACTATGAAAATTGTATCCATAATTATCATGATTGTCGTCATTTGGGTCTTACCGTTTTTCTTTGGCTTTTTCCCACTCATAATCGGTTGGTGGCGCGTATGCCCTAATTATTGCGTTCTTACCACTGTATTATCTAATCGTCGGCAATCATTAGTAGCATGGCACATCTTTTTGTCATTTCTAACCTTCCTATTGCCTACATCTATAAGTGTTATTTTATATTCTCGGATCGTATGCGTGACGAGAAACAACGCTAACAAAATAACAGAAAATAAAAATAGTGAAACATCAGGCAACCCAATTACAAAAGTTGTAGTCGCAGTGTCTGTAATAATTGGTGTTTATCTACTTTTGCAAACACCGTATAATATCTTTCAGATTATTTATGTGACTAATCCAGCCCTCATCCCTAGAAGCACTCGACCTTTTATACGGGAATGGCTAGTATATGCCGCATCTTGGAATTGCGTTACCAGTCCGGTTATTTTCGCCTATTATGATCAAACTTTGCGTCAAGAACTAATCAACATTATAACATGTAGATGTTATAGGTCCAAAAGTCCTTCATCAGCTCATGCTCCTACATCTAACGCTGTGATGATGCGGTCATTTTAATGGTAGAACTGGAGTAAGACTTTCCATCATAATATCTGGATTACGTTAAGCAATGATAGAGTGGTAAAGAACTTCAATCATCAAGCACCGATTGGCTTTTAAATTGCTACCGTTACTATTGCAACAGTAATACATATAAGCATAATATGTGCTGTAGTATGGAAACTGATTATCAATAGTACACATAATAAAAGATTAATCAGCATGTAGCAAAGTTTTATAGCGTCATATTTCAGACCAATAAATATCACCTAACTAAGAACGATTTAACGACCAATCTATGAAGTGAATTAGTTTATTGTAACTGCTCAAGAATGATGCTGTAATCACTTCTTGAGCACAGTATTCCCATTGATTCTTAACTCAATAAATCGAGTAACAAAATGATAGACTATTGCACTTTCCCATTTTTATCTCCCGCTCTTATTATACTGTAGAATAGAAGGATAATTATTCTAACATAGTTAATTATGAGTATGTCAACAAAATGTTCAAGAATCGTAATTCCATCATTCGCTTTGCTGTTTATAAATATATAATACTTCATTGTTGCAGCAACATGCAATAGATTGTATAAGGAAAGCCAGTCGTTTATTTGTGATATATAAATGATAGAAATAGGGCTAAAGTCACTAGCGAATGCGTATATGTATTGGGTAATATTTTATAGGAATACGTGCACGCCGTTGTAGTGTTGATTTTGGCGTTGGCTAAAATCCTTATCGTGCAGTTAATATTACAAAACGAAAAAGTGTGTTAATTTGATGCTGTTCAATGTTCATTAATATATTGGTATATGATCATTTTAATTTCATACTTGTAATGTTGATTATCTGAGTTTCTGCATATAACCGTTGATTTTTCATTGCATTAAATTCATTCAATTCTTGATTTCATAAGTAATAGTGATCCTATTGTGCTCTAATTGCGTGTATCTCCACGAAACATCTTGTACTAGCTATCACCTAATTATAAAATCGCTATTTTGTCTTACTAAAATTGTAGACGCTTTTTTATATAACCTATACACCCGAATGTGCATGATTAAGTTACAATTTTGATTTAACTACTATTTGGCAAGCCGGAGCATAACCATTGTCGAATAAGCGTAGTTCATTAGTGTATTTTGAAAACCCATGTTTCCATTAACTTAATTTTATTTTAAGCTTTTCTTGTCCGTATAAGTTTGCCTTCATCTGCCACTAGAATATAAATCCAATAATTTCTGCCTCTACGCGTCTTGTAATAATTAATTAATCAATAAATTTTATTGCGATAATTTAACAATTTCTGCTCATGCAATCCTAACAATTTGTGTAATCCAATCTACTCCTAAAGAAGAGCTAAGCTATATTTTACCGTACTGTATATTTGTATGTCTACAGTAATAAATGTCATGAACATTTTACACAAGTGAGGATGGATAAAAAATTAAATAATTGATGAATTATTTGGGAGGTTTTTTCGATAGTATCGTTACGTATGACTTCTAAGACTGTTGACTATGATATCTTATTTAACTAAGCATCATTACCAAAATTTTCGAAAATAGTCATAACTCTGTCTAGTTGTAATAATACTAGAAATTTTCTAGACGATAATTTTAAATGAATACGGACATGAAAATGACTAATCTAAATAATATTATGTTATCAAATTGGATATAATTATACGCAACCTTAAAAATGTAACAGTGGGGAAACAAATTTTACTCGTACTATTACCTCGAAGCGTAAACAATTACATCTATCGGACACATTAACCAACATAATCGATCTTACTATGCTCATTTCTCAGTTGGTTTCGAATACCGTCGAAATTTTATTAAGAATTGGCAAGCGAGAAAAACGAATTAATCTAGCAGCAACACAGTAGTTTTTAATAATCCCAACAGTCCTTACTATTAAATAACACAGTTATTACATGATATAGCTAAGCGGCAGTAATTCACATGTTGTAACTATTTTAAGGAAAACTAGGCATACTAAAGCGAATGAGGTAAGGTTTGCTATCGTAAACAGACTTAATTACGAAATTATGAGCGTTCCAGAATCCACTGCAATCGCTGTTGTGTGCTTGATTGACCCAGGCATTAAAAGTTCAATACAGTTCGCAAACTAACAACAAAGTTACATATTAAGAGGTCAGTAACAACAGTTAATGTCATAGAATTAATTAAAGCCTCCTTGACATACCTTTTTCCTTCATGCATTAAGTTGAAGGCTTCGTTGATATTTTCCAATGACATGGTGTGGGTAATAAACTCATCTAACTTAAGTTCTTTGTTCATATATCTTTCTGCAAGCACTGGTACACTATCGCGACTTTTCCAACCTAAATAACAGCACAAAAGTATGTCTCTAAAACAATCTCAATAGAATATCATTATTCTCTGGAGTTGAACATGAACAATTTCCGTCCCGTAAAAAAATGTAAAGTAAACGTAGCCTCGAGTAATATCAACCTCCAAAAGCTGTTCCTTTCCATGTTCGACCAGTGACAAGTTGAAACGGTCGGGTTGAAATTTCTAAAGCAAAACAAACATTTAAGCAATCTAACATTGATACTAACAGGCATAGCAATTATTAATTAATAAAGACGCAAAAACTTGAAGTCGCTACAGGGTATGTAAAGTAACAAAATTATGATTTGGAGCATTAATCGTTGATTAAGCTAGAGCTGGCGTTTTAAATAACAATACAATAAGTATATGCACGAAAGAATCTGCACTACTATCTACCTTTTCCGGCTGCTGCAACACCGATGACTACTGAAGTTCCCCAACCTTTGTGGCACGACTCTAAAGCAGCTCGCTATTAGTTCGAAAAATTCAATTGCAATATAAATACCTCTCCATCAAAGTGTATAAGGTGTATTTAAGTATCCCATGGAACATGTACGTACTGTATAACTTAAAAATACAAGAGATAAGTACTATCGATTGATAACTGCATAATCAACATTTCATTTTATTATTTTTAATAATATCAGAGATCATCTCCAATTTATATATACTTTAGGGTTGAATTCGTAGCTATTATTACCATGGTATGCACATTTCCGATAGCTTCAAAAGTATAGTCAAGTCCTCCGTCAGTCATTTCAGCAAGCACCTGAACACAATAATTGATGTAAGATTTTCATAAATTTGCAAGTCAACTCATGAATAAACAATTACGAACAGCATAATTAATAGATTTAGCTGACTACAAATAACTGATGGTGGAAATAAAAACGAAAATTGTGCTAGATAGTATTTTGATAACTAAACCTGCTGAATAGGCTTATCATAGTCAGCTGGATTGACACAATCAGTTGCTCCAAAGGCCCTAGCTATGAACAAATATTTGCCATTGATTACTGTATATATTCTCTTACATATCTATATTAATCAGCCATAACGAGTTTGCCGTTTGCAACTTACAATCCTATTCACCTTACCTGATTCAAATTTACTTGAATTTATATCAATGGCAAAAATACGTGATGCGCCTGCTGCTTTACAACCCATAATCACAGCCAGCCCAACCGCACCAAGGCCCCAAACACCGCAAGTAGTGCCCTTTTCGACCTTGGAAAACGAATTGCAAAGACAAATGTTTCATAATGACAACAATATTATAGCGAAGTAATGTAGTAGAGTGTCATAAAGAAAAAAAATTTGAAAGAGTATTGATTATATTATTCATGTCTAAGAGTCTTACGTTAGCAGTATTAAGAACTGCACCGTATCCGGTGGAGATTCCGCAACCAAGCAAACAAACTCTATCCAAGGGGGCGTCAGGGTGAACCTAAGTAACAGTATTAATAAGCTGATTTTGATGCTATGATTAATTATTGATACAGGTACAGTTACATCACGCAGTCGATTTGTAACAGTAGTCTACTCTTTACCCTTTACCTTAGCTACTGAAATTTCTGGAACTACAGTGTATTCACTGAAGGTGCTCGTCCCCATAAAATGCAATAATTCTTTTCCATTACATCTAAATCGAGATGTGCCATCAGGCATAACACCTTTTCCCTGAGTATTTCTATAAATCGATAGTCATTCCCATTAGATTATCATCCCAAATAGGATATTATATCAGTTACATGCACTGGAAGTACAATGTAAATCAGCATTCTATATCGCATTTTTATTGATATTTGCATATCGTCTATGCCATCAATTTGCACACTGAAGTTAATATCCGAAACTAGCGTTTGTACGCTACTATACTGCAAGATATACTCCCGGTAGCAATAGCTCGAGAATGGCAAAAAGAGAAATACAAGTATGGATAGGCTAACAGATGTGACTTGGTACAGAGTTGCATTTACCTAATTTTACCGCATAAGTTTGTCCTTGGATGTCTACAGAATTTACAATCACCACATTGTGGTATATAAAGCGGAACAACATGATCGCCTATAATATCAAGCATGAGAAGTACATCAAAGATAATGAATAATGTACGCGTTGATATGCTCATTTAACTTATGATGTGCATACTCGTATCTTAAATGATTTATGGTATTGAGCGGCAATCGCCCTACCTGGTTGAACGGATGTGACGCCCTCTCCAACACTTTCAACAATTCCACCACCTTCATGGCCTAAAATTACAGGGAAAGCTCCTTCCGGATCATGTCCACCAAGAGTGTAAGCGTCGGTATGACAAACTGCAGTATAAATTATACGAATGCGAACTTCACCAGCCTTTGGTGGACTGACTTCTACCTCTTCAATACTTAATGGTGCTTTAGCTTCCCAAGCAACAGCAGCTTTGCATTTAATAACCTTCGCGTCAGAAATAAGGGCAAACCCAAAATTTACAACGGATTAGTAATGCCTTGCATAGAATGGTTATTTAATGCTGCTGTAAGTGGATCCATGCGATTAGATGGACCTACTAAGTTTTACTATACAGTACTGTACTCTGTCCGACCTGCGTCTAATCGAATTGATGCCTCTTTTCTTTTACTTGTTGTGCAAGTACAGACTAGGATAGTTCTTTTTAGTGTTGCATGATTTGAACGACTGTATTGACACTACTGTAAAGTCTTACAGTATATGTTATTATTTATACAGTATAGTACAACATGTTTACCCGATTTCTGTACTGTACAGTATTTTGATGACCATATACAGTGGATATGCTATGGCCTGGAAGCAACATGCTACGGTGATTACTGGAAAGGAAGAAACTTTTTACCACTGATTGCAACTGTCAAGGTTCAAGAGAGATGTCGATCACCGACAGCGCCATTGCACGTACGAGTACGAGTACGTGTCCAATTCAGCAAGCGCACTAAAAGTGGTTGTAATATGACGATGTACTGTATGGTGTTTGCATTCACGATTGGAAAGATGAGCAATATTCATTCTACATTCTTCTCGTCTATCTGATATGGATACAGATTGTTACAAGCCTGACAGGAATGATTTGCAACGATCTATTAAGTCGATTGCAATACGTTGATGACAATAAGCAATAAAACGATGATGCGAATCATTCTAAAATCATTCCTGCAGGGTACTGCCAGGCACTTTTAAGGCTAATAACAACAAGTCTTTCGTCTTCACAAGTGTCTGATACTGTATTGTATGTGGACATCAGTGGGCTTTACAAAGCACCATCCACATTGCATATCATCATCATTACTATCAGTATTGATATAGTTAGTGAGTTAAATAGGTCCTATTGATATGATTGAACATCCTCTTCATCAAAGCAAGTAGACTGATTTCACTGAAAACAACAACTTACTTTACCCACTGTGTCGGCCATGTTGAACGGTGAATAGAGGAAATGGATGCGTCCGTGTGGTGATGCAATTTCATGCAACTCGTGTGCTCGGACTCAAAAATACTAAAGTAAATATATCCAAATTAAACGGTACCGTCGTGCATTGCAGACCGATGGTCGATTCGATTGTACTGTCATGTATTACTAATTCGTGATCATTTCTTACTATTATTGTTGTTCAGGCCGATTGAGACCCTTAACATGGCCATTAATGAGTAGTCCACCCCTTCTCATGTCGTAAACTGCATACAAGCCTGTCCTATGGTGGTGCCAGTCTAGCTTATCGTATGCAGTAAGTGCTAGTGTATGATCGATGGTGGTCGATGTCACTCAGGCATAGCCCTGAGCTACTGGTTTGACCCGCTTAAAACAGGAAATTACAACTCGCTTTGTGTACAATGGTCCTGTAGCAGTTCATCACTGTACCAACTAGTTGATTTTCTTTTGGACACCGCCACTTTTTTTTGCAGGGTAGTCCTTGTAAATACACCTTACTAACATGCAAAGGAAAGCTTATGGCTTATGCCTATGGGCGATGTGCAGATCAACACAAAGATCGCCTCCAGTACTGTACCATACTCCACGAGACGGTTGTGACAACGGTAAAAAGCGGTTATTGCTCTCCTTTCCCATACTGTACCCTTTCCATTGCAGTCTATTACTGTAATGAATCGTGCATTGGCAATTTGGCACTACTAGGCACTAACCGTTCGCTCTCTTTATTTACTAACCAGCCAGACAGATACGTAGACAGAGCAGAAGGGTACCAGTAAAATTTTGCTGAGTAAGTACAGCGTTGTACTGGACTGTAATTACATACTTTGCCGGTAGCATAGACTGTATATTGAACATGCAGTATATCAGAGACGAAATAGGACTAAAATATGCACTTGCTGGCCTATTTCTTACCCTAAGTAAAATTACTTTACATCCTGGTCATGGACTACTCGATACAGTACAGTAGTGTACTGTACAGTACGTACTGTACAGTACTTATTGTACACAGTACAGTACAGACTGTACACTGTACAGTACTTTACAGTGCTACAGACAAGTGTAAGTACGGACAGAGTCAAGGGATTCAACCGTGGAACTGACACGATATTGTAATTTCTTGTGGTACTGTACACTGTACTGTACTGTACTGTACTGTACAGAGGGTGGACGGGCTAGTACTGTACTGTACAGTGTACAGTGCATGCTTCTACAGTACGGTAAGGAATTATTAAGACAAACTTCTTGAATAGTCCAGAGAATGAAAATCCAGGTGGTAAACATGTGAACAAGATAGTAAATAAAAGTGTAACCATTTACCATAGACTACAGTACTAGATATACTGTATCTAGAAATCCATGCCTATACCTACGGTTACTACTATAGTGAACAAGATAGTAAACAAAAGTATTATTATCCCTTAACCGGAACCGTCACCATGGACCACTCGCAGTACAGTAAAGTAAGAGGATAGCTGAACTGGACACTGTTCAGTGGTCACCCCTTCAGACGGACAGATACTGTACAGTATATTAAATACTCACTCCTTTGGACGGACAGATTACTTGGCCAACTTTGGTCAACAAATTGTGTCAAACTCAAACACTTCATTTTGACAGTACTTTAGTATGCAGACAGTCGATTCTGAAAGGGCTGATTTTTTCTAAATTAAGTAATAGTACACTTTATTCTTTTGCCTGTTACTAAGTTCTGCTTGGAAGCAATCACTTTAGATCATCAATGTTATTCAAATTAATTAATATCGTACTGAGGAACTACTTTTCGATCTGATCTGGTAGGAAAGTCCGTCCGCCCGAGGAAAAGTGACCAGTCTAGGTATACAGTACAGTACAGTATTTCTATACCGTACAGTATAGCACAGCACTGTACAGTACTGTACTGTACTGTACTGTGGTTTACTACAGTATTTACTCTTGTTAGTACTGTAAATTGACCAATCATAAGCGTTCTTGCACTTGACACATTATTTACAGTACCGTAGATCTTCCATATTGTAATGACTATAGTGTGAGTTAAGACTATTATATCCTTGCGATTAGTGTGATGATCGGTCCCCTAGACTATGCGGTCATTGCAGTGTTCCATCCCCTTTGCACTGTAAACGTCGCTTGAATCAATTAACCGAGTTGATGCAATCATCCACACTATCGACAGAAAAACAAACTTATTAATTGATGATTAACGAGCTTGCGACAAGGTTCAAAGTTGCTCAACAGACATTGCAGATTGCATTCAAGCCTTGGCATCATTCCACCCTGTCAACTATTTTATGCAATATTGCATATGATCTCAAGTATTATTACAGTACAGTACGACGGTACTAGCATCGATTGAAAGCTGTCGGCCTTATTACGTATTCTATGCATAGTGACGTCGTGGACGATCCATGTGGATAAAGCATTGATAAAAAAGTGAAATAATGTGGATCTACAGACGTTAAGAAATTAAGTTTATGGGATAGATACACTATATGTTATGAATCGGAAGTGCAGCAATCAATCTTGACGTGGATAATAGCTAGATACACTTAGAAAGTAGACATAAGCTGAGTACCTCAAGCATCAACATTATTCTTTTTCTCCTTTTGCTATCGATTGATACGATAGTAATCGAGATAGCTGATTTTTTTTTTATTGGTTGGGAGGAATGACCTATCATCTCCACAGTTCTTTTGGTTTAGGATAGTAATCATCATTATAAAATAGCACATTCGACTTTTAAAGACCGACAGAGTTATACAATTACATTGCCTTGAACTGGTATATAATTGAAATATCAATTAATCATTATTATTAGCACGATTTAAACTATTACAACAATTCACAGTATTTATTGGATTTTCGATGGCATCATCAACTCCTGTCAGTAAGAGAGATTACATACTCAAATCGTTTTTTGCTGGTGGTAAGCAATTAATTTGTACTAAAGCCATAGACTATAGATTTCATTTTACAGTGTGTATAATGACTCTGTACTCGTTATTTTCCAAACTGCGGTGCTGTCGACATAGTTGCAGAGAGCTTGTATTGATAGATATTTTCAATTCACTTTATCGACTTTATCAATTACTACTATGGTGTACAGTACTGTAGATCACCTCATCGTACTGTTTATGTTGTGATGTTTGATTATTGCCACATGAATAGTATAAATACTACATTGATGGTATTATTGGTAGGTATATCACTCTACAGTATCAAGAAAAAGAAATCACTAATATAGCTATTATTAGAAACAATTAGAATTACCTGTCGTTCATCGGTGCTTTGAATACCATCAGTTATCGTAATAAATAAATTAGATTAATATGAATTTAATGAAGATATTTATCAAAATTCACTACACAACCGCAACTTTTAATACTCGTCATTTCTTTAAACAATTTCTCTAGGTATTGCTGGTTGTTGTGCGAAAACAACAACTGCACCACTCGATCGTTTAAAAATATTGCTACAAGCCAGAAGTGTAACATATTCTCATCTTGGTAATTTTAGTATTATTAAATTTGCTTTATTCTGATTCTAGTATTAGTATTCCATCTATATATACTGTATTATGATCTCATATTCTTTAGTTAAACTCAGCTGCAATGCCATTTATTGACCTGTAGTAATTTTTACAATTATTAACGTTAATGAATTAGTATTATGATCGATATAGGTATCGCTGGAGGATTTAAAGCAATCTATCAAAACGAAGGTTGGAAAGGGTATTACAGAGGTGAGAAAATATCGATGGAGTTGATTCCGTCCGGCTGCCATAACAGAGATTTAAAAAAATCTATTATGGTTGCGACAAATTTTACTGGAACATGGAATAATAACTGTATATGCCCTACTGTTAAAACTGCTTTAGTATACAATTTATCATATTGATATCAAGCTGGATTAGAAGCTTCTCATTAGTAGCAGTACAATTTCAAGCATCTGATATTCATTCTTTTACAAGGTAATGGCGCCATGATGGTTCGAGTCTTTCCATATGCCGCAATCCAATTTATGTCTTACGAGCAATATAAAAAGGTATAGCTGTGGACTTACAATGCGGCGCTATAATATTACGTCAATCTACTAGTGTTTCTAGACGATTAATTGCAGCAATATACTATACTTTATAAATGCAAATGCAAATAATAGTAATTATTTACCCGCACAATTATATTTTTGGAATGCATACTGTATTAGCTTAGTCGGTAACCAATTGTTTGTTGTAATAGGTATTATTGTCCATCCATGATGGTCAAGCAATGAAGTTACTTTCTGGTTCCTTAGCTGGGATCACTGCTGTTGCATTTACTTATCCACTTGATGTGATAAGAGCTAGATTGGCTTATCAGGTGATTGAATTAGTGAGAAGAAGCTTCAATTTTTTAATATGATGCTAGATTGGATACTTTGATAAATTGATTTTCCGAAATCTATTCTAAGATCTTACATTAATACGTTATGATTTTAATGACATTATCGATAGGTAACTGGTAAATTGCAGCTATATGATGGTATACTACACGCTTTTAAGAAAATATATCAGACAGTAAGTAAATACTAATATTAACAACACGATTATAAACATATCTGGGAAACTTGGTAATATAAGAACGCTTACTTGCAGAGATAACACCAATGTTCTTATTTTTATTGTTGATTAGTAAGTTATTGCTATTTTAAATTGTGTTTGCTAGGAGGGCGGAATTAGGGCATTTTATAGGGGATACTTTCCAACAGTACTCGGAATGATTCCTTATGCTGGTACTATATAATTATATTATTGATATGTTAGGTGTCTGGTCCAATGGATAACATATTTTTATGATCAGCCTCAATTTTTCTAAGTTTTATCGTGATAGTAAAGTATGATGCCTCCAATGACTTTTGGCTTTAATTCACATCTAGGGTTATCTTTCTACACTTTTGAAACCCTAAAATCGCTATGTTTACAGTATTTTATCAACATCACAACAGTCGTCGATCATAATGGCGAAAAGAGGTTACGAATACCAGCTAGTCTACTGTGTGGCGGAGTAGCTGGAGCTGTTGCTCAAACTATATCGTAAGTTCAATATGGAAAATTACGCTAATGGGTAACCTAATTATTGATTTAAGATTACTTGAGCCCTATTTACATCCTTTTATTATAATTATAGTTACCCATTAGATGTAGTTAGAAGGCAAATGCAGCTAGCAGCAATTATTCCTGACGGCAATAACGAAAGGTACAGTACTATATTTTAATATATGTAATTTACATATTTTAATTTGTTATATTTAATGGAGTTTTTAGCTTTCTTGTTGTTATATTTCTATTTGGCGTAGACTTTATCTTTATTGCTTAACTAAAAAGTACAATAATTTACTCTTGCTGATGAGTACTCATTTTCGTTCTACAATTGCTATTACAGGCAATGGAGAGCGGTGTTATCTCATGTAGTTCAAAAGTACGGAATTGTAGGAGGTTTATATCGTGGTATGAGCATCAATTACTACCGTGCAATACCTCAAGTAGCTGTTTCCTTTGCTACTTACGAATTAATGAAGAGGGTTTTAAAAATTTAGCATAAGACATTGGTGGCCTTGTGCGTTGTATTAGTATTTATTGTATGAACAATTTAAATATGAGACGAATCTATTTGAAAAATTGTAAACTAATCTTTTTTGTCACGTTCAGATTCTAGTTTGTACCTATGCATAGTAAGCTGAATGAATATCTTGTGCGGTGGCTACTGCATGGCGCTACTTCACTTAATTACATACTATACGGTATATCGAAGAGGTTTTGTTTTAATCCATAAATCAAGAAATAATATTCTCCTATTTTTTATTCATTCCTTAATTATTCGCTTAATGATTTTAAAGGATATCTGATCCGACTATTAAGTATATGTAAGATGATTATCGGATCAGATGTTGTGCATATATTATGGTAAGACCAGACCAGAATATTGAAAATGCTGTAATAAATTATTTTTTTTGTCAGCTGTTACAGCGAGTACGTTGGCGGATGTTAAATACTTGTACTCGTACGTAGGCCAAATTGTTATCATTTTATTAAGGTTACGAGGCTATTAATCAACGATGGCTATGAAATAATATTATCAAAAACTGCTTGTATACAGTTATGTAAGTGGAAAATGGAAATAAAGGGCTTTTGCAAATCAGTTTGCTAGAAGTAGCAGTTTGAAGTTATATTAGTTTTGATATCATTTCAGTTTACAAAAGAAGAAGAAAATCATCAAGATGCGTGTGCGATTTTCGCACATAATCAGATTGTATTAGTCTAGTCAACTGTGAATCAATTCATTCAACTACCTAGATGTCAGAATACCAGTAGTTAATGACTGAAGCAGTAATTTGCATTAGTGGCATGAGAAAGAGTGAAGTAGTGCACGTAATACGAGGGAAGCACACACTGAGTGATCTAGTGTAACTTCTATCTGATGCCACTAAAAAGTGGAGTCGTAAACCTTTGATAGGTCTAACGGATATGTCTATGCAGGGACTGTTCTTACTTTTCAATTAGAAGTCCATGCGACCATGCTTTGCTTTTATTAGCAATATAGATACGTATCATTAATTACAACGTATTCGTAGGGTAGTGATTAATATGATTTGAACGATTGATTGATTGATTACTTTTGGTATACGCGTACAGTACACAGTATAACTTTGACCTGTCAGTGCAGTGTATCATTCAACAGGCAGATATGAATAAATTCATGTTTTGCAATGTTTGCATTGCACAAATGGCCACAAGCTGGCCTCAGCCTTGTATTGTGCTTTATAAAGTTTGCAGATATTGAAGGATTGGATATTGAATTATTATTGCTGCGCTTGGCAGACCTGAACAATATTTGAAACATTAATAACGGCGCTTTTGGACGTCTAAATACCCTGAAATACTTCAAATTATTCATTACGCATTTACTTCAATACTCTACAGCATCAATGTGTATGTTATACCGCGTTCAAATGGATGCTGTAGTAGATTAATTAATTTATTTATTTACTTATGATTACTAAACTAACGTGGGCCCACAGTCCACTGCAGTCCTGTTCCACTAGGCCCAACGCACGTACGGCACTGCGGTACGTGTTCGGCCAGTGGTCTCTTGCGTGCCGTGCCGCGACCGTACTGGGACCCGAAGAGTACAGTACGGTACTGTGATGCCTAGAGTATTGTGCACTGTACACTGTACAGTGTATACCACTGTGTCGTGATCAGTGCTGCTGTACACTAGTTTCTCACCTAGGATGTCTTGCCATGGCTAATAGTAACTAGAACAGCGATGCTACAGTACTACTGGACCACTACTCAGCTCATACTGGACCATCAAACAGCGGATTGACTGCGCTCAGGATGCTTTCAAGTGTCAAGTCAGCAAAATCGAGAGTAGCTTATGCGTTTTCCACTCGAGATCAGTCAGGAAAAGCGTTAACAAGTTGAAAGTTGCTCATTGAAGGATCATGGCGGAGGAAAATAAGCGCTCTAGCAATGAAAGAAATAACAACTTCAATCTTACTGCTGGTCATACAAGTGGTATACCAGCTCATCGTTACAGCGATAGTGATATGAGTTCGAGCGAACAAGAAGATAGCAGTCGTCGAAGGCGAGAAGTTGATCGTATGGCTACTTTACAGCAAGAGAATGTCGTTCTTAAAATGGAAGTGGAAACACTGAAATTGAGAATTAAAAATTTACTAGAAGAGAATAAAAAACTTCATCAAGACAGCATTAATATTGTAAGTTATTTATCTCTTTTAATTTTAATCTAGCTTAAAGATTTGAATAGACGAATGATTGAAAATTGTCTGTACAACTGGTCGATGAAAGCATGACAATCTAGCAATCAGCCTACCCTTATCATGTTGTAGCATGGATTGCATTATAGCAGGAAATGAGAATGGAATTATGTCAATAATAAGATGTATGCACGATTATCACCGGTAGTCATGCTGTAGTTTCTTCTTGCTTTCTCCAATACGACATATATATATATATATATATATACTCATATATACTGTAGATCAAGGAGGGAGTCAAGGAGATAATTAAATTACGATGATGTTCGGTTGAGAAATAGTCAACCATGAAATTATGGCTGGCTATTACAAGTCTATAACTGTACTTATCGGAATAGCGATCATACAATATAGAATTCAAGTTTGCTATGGTAAATAGATTGTCAACATAAGTTATTGATAGTGATGCAATATCATATACGTAGATCAGCTTGAAATAGTATTCATATCAAGTCATGTTGTAACCATGGTTATACTCAACGTATAACAAGTTAATCTTGGCTGCATGCAATACAGTACCATACTGACGACCTAAAATAGTACTGTAGATGGACGGTTAATATCTCTTGGAGTACAGTGGAGATAAACGATCTAAAAATGATTGCAGTTTTCATGTCTCTTGATAGAATATATCTTAGTACATACGAGTATGTACTGTGTACACTTTATTAGAACGCCGTCATCCATTCAATGAGCTATTCCATACATGCTATACACAGTACTAATAATATCATTCGGTTTATCTGCTGTTATTTATTTATAAATAGCAAGTACGTGCGGAACAAGAGGAAGAGTATATTTCCAATACCTTACTCAAGAAAATACAGTGTCTAAAGAAAGAAAAGGAAACACTAGCAACTAATTATGAGCAAGAAGAAGAATACCTAACAAATGATTTAACTCGTCAATTAGCTCAGGTACTATAACTCTCAAGTCTAGGTCACGCTGCTATTGATATTGATACTATTATTAATTAATTAAATAGATCAGTGCAATGGCATTAAAATCATTTCACTAATATAAAGTTTACCCGCAAATCATTGACCCTGTCGAATTGTACAATTTTATTAGCTACGTAAAGAAAAGGTTCAATTGGAAAAAAGCCTAGAAGCGGAACAGGAAAATCAAGTTGTAAAGTTATCAAGAAGAATTAATAAACTTGAACGCGATATTTCGGTTAAACAAGATAATCTGGAAAGGGTAATATAATCGATATTATTGTTGTACTTGTAGATCAATGCATGAAATACGAATATATTATGGCAAAAAATCAAAGATTACTCCGACATGATTTTTTGCCTCTTCTGAAAACTCTGAGTTTTAGTAAGGATGAGAAAATTGTATGAGTCATTTCCCGCAGTAATACATATAAAAATTGTAATTTAGCCAAGAATCATTGCCACGCACGATACACGAGAAAGGCTAACTTTATATCTTGTTATCGTCGTAGTGTCATTTTATAATTTTTGAATAGTTTAGCCCTAATTTGTCTGAGGATACTACCCTATCGGAACATGTGTATAGATAGTATTTTGTAACCTATTCTGTTATTGAAACAGTTGCAGCGAGAAAAAATCGATTTAGAAAATGCTTTGGAACATGAACAAGAATTTATTGTTAATAAATTATGGAAGAAAATCAAGAGAATTGAACAAGAGAAGAAGTAATGTTACGATCTATTAGTATTAACTATCATACTGAATCACGTAACCTGATATGATCAATCGTTAAATGCAAATTATTGTAACATTAATTTTCCTTTTAAAATGCTATGAGTACCAAAGTCATGGTACAATAACGATTTATATTCGTTATTCCTTATGAAATACAACCCTTTATGATACCCTAGATCATTGACCGGGAAACTGAAAGAAAATTCTAACGAAGAAAAAGACTCTATAGAAAATTTAAATCGCGAAGAATTAATCAATAATTTAACTGTACGATGTAGAGAATTAAAATCTGAGGTTACTATATTAAAAAAGAAATTAGTTGAAGCTGAAACTCGAAGTAAGTTGATTATATTGTTCTTGCTTTTATTTATCACGAAATGATAGTAAACTGAACTAATAGTTAGCTAATCTTAACATGTAAAGTGATCAATAGGCATATTTGTCCAATAATCTTTCATATAGTCTGAATACGGAGTCAAAATAATTACTAAGTAAGGTTTTAATCATCTTTGCAATGCTTGAAATATTAGCTGTAGAACAAAGTCGAAGTTATGCTCTCGAAGAAGAAAGAATTACTGATGAAAATATTCAATTACAAAGAAAGTTAAGCATGGAGCAGGAAAGAAGGCTTGCGTTAAGTCGGGTGTTATCTGAAAGCGAATCAAGTCTTGATACAGATGAGGATAGGTATTAGTTTTGTGAGACCATATTAGAGGAATAACGACTTATAATAGATATCAAGTTATTGCTTCTATCAAAGTTAATAATTTACAGAAAACTGTCTCTACGCGTATTACAGATCATTCAGCATGAATCGATCTTTAACCAGTGATGCAGACAAGAGAGAAAGGACTATTTCTAGTCCATTACCTTGCGGTCATCCGCTAACAACCAATAAATTATGTACGTCTGTTTTCTTTTAGTAATCATAATATCATTCCTTACGTTTATGAAATAATTTAATTATAAACAAATTTTTATGCATTCAGCTGAAAAATTATTTAGTTTACCATCTCCTGTCAATCGGGGTGGTGGTACCTCAATCGCGAGTGATGCAAATGGATCATCCGAACCGTCTTCGTCGGTTTTCACGGTTAGATTTGATTATAGCTTGTTATAATCTCCATTTTCTTCCATTCGTTCACAGCTCTTTGGATATGAAGTTAATTGAAACATTGACATATTCTATTTTATCTTGTATTCTCTCCAGAAACCTTCAGTTAAAAATATAGGCAATGAAGCTCCTAATAATTTGTCAGAAAGTCTTATGGATTGTCAGGATGATTCGAAGTAATGAATATCACAAATCAATTGTATAAATTCCTATAGGCTAGACAAACAGATTTCATGAATTACGCAAGTCCTTTTAAGAAGGCTGGAAAATATGCGTACAAATATTTCTGAGTCAGTGTCTTAATATTCAAAAATAATCATTACCCTTTGCGTTACGGTGTATGTTCATGAGAGTGCATTGCCGGAATTACATGAATGGCCTTCGCTTTTGCTATACCGGTTTGTTTGCTGATAACGCTTGATGTACCTATAATGTAACTTATACATCTCGTATTAGATTCGTTGTTGCAATAACTACTTTGCTTTTGTTCCCTGAATACCATCTGTTTAATGCCGTTGGCTAAAAATTATCGTAAGGTCATAGTTGCCATCGATACTGCTATTCTTAAAGTAAATCTTAAAAAGTCACTGCTTAAAATTTCCTGACAAAAATTATCCTTCTGCATAATCAGCTGTCTTTCATTCTGCTGAGAGCATGTTGTGCATTTAACATTTACTTATGGCATGATTGTGACTCTTATCGTTACTACATAAAGGCGCTCTAATAGACGATGTAAAATGTTAAATGAAAGAAATTTTTATTATAAGAAATGCTAAATAGCTATTATTCACAATCATTACTGTATGGAAATGGTCGTTACAAGTGGCAATAAACTTCAGAGACAATTTTTTTCTTTCAATATTGGCAATCTAGTCAAGTTCACTTATTGTTTGACTTTTCATGAACTTATCAAATCCTTACAGCATAATTGCATATATACGGCTATTTAGAATTAACTGCAGCATCGGAAAAGAAATGACAAATTACAGGCTAGCAAGGTTAGAACGGCGGTATGACCTAAAAAAACAAAATGCACTATGTGTCATACATATTCAATTTCATTTAGCTGAGGCAGCTCACTGAAGGATTCACACAATAAACATTTTAGAATAAAGCATTAAACAGCTTTCTTATTCCTTAAGTTAGAACAGAATATACAGTATCTCAAACATTTAGTTAGAGAATAGATTTAAAACTTATCTGGGGTATAAAAGGGTCAGTACCTTATTCAATTGACTTTAAAAGTTTGTTTTAGATCGAAATCATATGGTATTTTCATACAATGTACCTTGTACGAAAATAAGTATTAAACTTTATGATTTCCAACTAGGATTCCATGAATAAACTCTTTTAACTATTAATAGAATAATATACTATTAACCAGATAAGGATGGAAATATAATTTTCTATAAGATAATAGCAGAAAGATTGAATATATACAAAATAAGAATTCGATAAGAAATTTTTCATCGCTCAGTAGTTAATTCAAACGATAACTTAAAATTTTAATGAAAACCCAAGGTAGTGTTTTATGTCCCAAAATCTCGCATTAGGTTCGAAAGATAGAAAGAATAAGAGTCAAATAGTCAAATAGTTATCAATTTAGATAAGGAAGATAAAAATGAAGATAATTTATTGCTGCTTATGCATTAATTGCTGCAGTACATGATATGATAGCATTCGATTACATCTATTAACTAGGAGTATTATTTAAATTCTTGAAATTATACTAAATACGCAATTAAGTAGTTGCGATTATTGTATTATGGATGCTTGGTTTCTTTCACTTTACTGATTTTGATAATGCTTTATAGATTTATGAAAAGCACAGCTATCATACTTAGATGCAATTTCCAATTGAGGAATTTTACCTTTATTGGTATAGGCGTACAGTACAGTACAGTACAGGCTAGATGTAGTGTATTTTGTGACAATACAACCGTATTCTCTCGATTTCGTTATAGGAAGAAATTTACTAGGTATAAATACTGGATAATATCATTCAACTCTTATGAATTAAGCAGACCTACTGTGTGCCGCATCCTATAATCGTTTACGCCAAGATAAAACTGTAGTAGATGTATTACTTGTATCTTTCCATATTATGCATTGCACATAAGTTGATGGTAAAATCGATTTACTTTATTTTAGTCCAATGGTTTAATAATTACCTTACAGAGTTTATAAAGTTGTTTTAGAATAAGCTGATCAAGGAAAGAAGGGAAAATCAGCTATAGCCAGTACAAGATAGTATTTTTAGTTTGTTCAAAATGTGTTAAAATGTTAATTTACAGGCGAGATGTTTTAATCTTCAAAGTAATCATATTTAAGTACGGCTAAGTATCACACTGTGCATAGCTTGCGGCTGACCCCGTTGGAATTGTTTGTAGAACAGTTCACATGATATCTCCATGTCGCGTGATGCCGTTGAGTCATTAAGCTTAGTCTGCGAATCCGTTACTAAGATTAACCTTATATACTGTATATGAGTATTTGGCCGATTGCTTTAATACCTATTACCCAGGTATTTAAAGTACTGTGGTATGAATTTTGGTAATTGGATTAACGTGGCGCCTGAACTAAAGCAGACTTACAAGACAAGATCCAGATTGATCAGGTCAGACAGAATTTTCCAATATATATTGTGACTTTATTTACAAAGCACTTCTTAATCACTTCTCCTCAAGTGTTGATAAATGACGAATAAATTAGATGTATCAGTAGTGCACAGAAATGTGGATATTTAAGAAATTTTTTACAAAATTTTGATCTTTCGGTATTTTTTGGTAAATATTATAGAATTCTAAACAAATACTGTAAAGCAAATGACATAAAATTGTACGTCATGTCTGAAAAAACGGATAAAAATTTCCTAAGCACTATCGGTTGGAATCCAATTAAGATCAGGAAATCAAGTCAAACATCGAATAACAATAGCAATGTAGGAGTAGGCAAAAATATAGCATCATAAGACTAGACTTTAGATATTATAAATTTTAAAGCAAAGAAGATTAATTATGCAGTGAAACTCAAACAACCATATCAATGATTGAATCGCAGGACACCAAATTATTCGAACTGGAAAAATCGACAGAATCCATTGATACAGTTGGAAGTGAAAATTCTGAAGACAACCCTGAATCTAAAAAACCATCTTTTCTGGCTAGACAATTACAGAAACTTAAATTTAGAGGAAAATCTGGTCAATCCGCCACTGCTTCAGATGAAAAGGTTAATTCGCAGGGGACAAATATCGATGCAACTGAGAAAGATGAGGTGAAATCAAATACAATAGGGCTTCATATTGATTCACCCGATTTAAATGATGGCGACCGGGTAAGCTTTGTATATTATAATATATATATTATTTTTTAAGACCTTTGCACTATTTACTAGATAGATATCTAACAGTAACCCAATAAACATTTTTTATCACAGTAAAATATAAAATTGATATTGAACGTTCCTAACTGTAACTTAAAATTTCTTAATCGCGACAGTAATTCTTTCCAAAGTAATTTAAATCGCATTTTTTAACTCGTAGAGCTCAACTTATCCGACAACCAGAGTGCTTGAAGTTAGCAAAAGAGTCAGAGGACCACACAATAGACAAAGGAAGATATCAAGAGATGTACATAAGACAGATTTTAACGATATAGAACATCTTTTATAGTTATACATATCAACTACAAACTGCCGGTATGATTAATCATTTAATTTTAGCTATGAGGTCCACCATTTAATTTATTCGAAGGTCAATTCCAAGATTAAAATTGGGAATATCTTCTACGTCCTTACAAACCGTCGATTCTGTATCAAAATTGTTAGAGCTTTCACCTGACGACTGTAAACAATCTGTTTAAAATACATTGAAAAAAAGTGAATAACAATGATTACAAAATATATTAAGGCAAACTTAATACTTTACTACAGCTTGAACTCTGTACAGGAATAGTACACTTACTCAATCCATTATCGCTAATTTCCAAAATCTTTTCATTAATTATGTTCTTTTTCCTAACGTTATCTTTGTCACAACTGTCTTCGATAGTAATCTGTAATGAAATTAAAATTTATGAAACAAGAATATGCTGAGAATTGTAATTTAAGCTAATATTTTAAAACTGACAGAATTTTGTGAATCAATCCCGCCGCTATGTGCTCGTTCTTTCCACAGTCTAACAATATCACTTGAGTTTTGTAATCCATGCTTTTCGGCTATAATTTTGGGAAGTAATTATTGTTTAATTTGCGCACAGTTTCAAATTTCGCTAGCAGGAAACTAGTCTATTCACTGTACTTATTATCAATAATATACAGTACGACAATACACCAGCAGCATCTACCGCTTAATAGCTACAAAGAGAATTACTGTTACGGCTTTACCTAGACAATGATCAATGACTCTATTCCATGTAAGATTTTTAGATAGCATTTTATAATTGCCTACAACAAATAGATGTCTAAGAAAACAGTATTTAAAATGTTGTTAATGGTTCTTTGAACTTGTTTTAATTATTCATAGAATTTATCTTCTTTTTCCATCATACTACCTTTTTGCACGAGTTAATGCAACGTTCATCCTCCTATAGAGAATTTTGTAAAAGATTAGTAAACACTCTAAATAAAACATTGAAAATTTATTTCCAAAGCTGTAATAAGCGTTATAAGTGTATATATTCATCTGTTACATAACATTTATTGACTAACTTATCGGAATCTATGAAGCCAGTATGCTCCGTACGAACGCACGATAAAATGATGATATCCTTTTCTCCACCCTGAAAAGCATCGACCGTTGAGATTTGGATTGATTTAATATCACCAATTGCTAAGACGCTAAATAATAAAGGTTGGAATTAATCAACATGCTGTTATGTCCTAATACCAGCATATTATATAAGGAATAGGAGAAAGCAAATCAGTAAAAACTATGAAAGTAAACCTAGAACAGGACAGCTTAGTTGTTATAGCTTGAAGTTGAGATTTATAAAGCGTAATAACACCTAATGATATGTTGAGCATTTAAGTTAATACTTTGATACCAGAATGATATTGTACATATATACAGCAGAAATATTTTCTAAATCTTGGTTGTACGTAAATTCTATGTAGTATATGTATGAACCTATTTGTTCAGGAGCAGTTCCATAGCTTACGATGATATTCAAGAGATTAACGACAAATATAGCCTGGAAGGACAAATTATTTGTAATCAAAGCTACTGATATGAATTCGTACTTGAAATAGATAACTGAAAGTAATTACAACTTACTTCTTGAGCGTTTGCATAGCTACCATATGCATCATAACTTTCACGTCCATTACTAACATCAAAGAAACACAGAGTTGGCAAAGGAATGTGTTCTTGCGACTGAAAATAATAGATAAGTTACACCAAAATTATCTATAGTTAAATACTGCATAAATAAACTTTTCACACATATAATACTTTACAACTGAATGAAACCTGAAACATAGGCATTCTTAAATTTTCATCAGTGCCATTAAGAAGTTGATTTTCATAAAATAAACTAAATCAACAAAGAATATTCACTAAGATTTTCTTAGTATTCATAATGTTCAACTAGTGATACGACTAAAATGTAAATGCCAGCGCTAATTATTATGATTTAAAGAACGTACCAATTGGCAATTTGACTTATTGTAGGATGACAACGGTACTACAGCAAAATAAAAATAGCCACTTGTAATTCTTCATTATCAGCAATTTAAAAGATATTTCGGCTACGACTTACTTGAGTTCGCAAGACGATAGGGCTACGATCCTCCATTTGCATTAAACATTAAAAGTTGGAAGTTATGCATGACAAGTAGAATTAAATTTCTTTAAATATTAACGTCTCTTAGGTAGTAAAACTGCCAATGCTTACTAATTTTAGAAGCCTATCAAATAGCGTTTGTTCAAGGCCACAGTCGTGGTTGCACTCAGAGCCTTGAATCGTAGGACTTAATTGCTATGAACCAAAATACATTATTATCTGTAGGGTATTAGCAAATCAAAAAATTTGCTATTCTAATATTAAGTAGATCTTACTTTAGGATCTCCAACCAGTATACACTTTTCACACTGGAATCTGTATTCATAGAAACAAGTTAGTGGATTGTTATATGCATTTATAAGATAAATCAAATACAATATTGAGATTACACCTTGCCATAGGAAGCAAAGACGTAGGCTCGGTCATTTGACTACACTCATCTAGTATTAATACCTACATACGAGTACAGAAAGATGCTCAGTTCCGAAGCGATATTTTTAAGCCTAAAAGTTACTTTCACCTACTGGAAATTTTAAATGCTGCATGCATGGAAATGCTGTTGCAGCACAGGTAACGGCAACAACTTTCACAGTGTCTAGTCGCTGTTTTGATGAACAAAGGATTTATAATTACTATACCTTATAGCTAAAAACCCTATTCCGTATTTGACATTTCAAATACAATACTTAAGTTTGATCTTGAAATACCTTTTTATTTTCCCCCTTCTTTAGACTTTCGATTGCCTTCCTGACCTGACTGTTAGTGTATCATAATATTAGCAATTATTGTTTTCTTGTACCGTGCTTACTCACTTATCTGATAGAGTAATTCATCTAGCTAATATCACACTGCGCTTTAATTAATCTACACCTTACTTTTTTTCCGATTGCGGCAAGTTGGACTTGAGCATGTCTTGCAGTTCTCGAAGTTCTTCGTTATCACTGCCCGAGCTATGCACACTAGAGAGTCACATTAAAATTATAATAATTATAATCGTTCCGATAACAAGAGAAACAAGAAATAAAATCTGATATCCCTTCTATTACCTAAAAGGCAAAACAACTTTAGAGATTTTTTTCATGCTGCCAACACGAACAAACGCTTCAAAACCAAAATTAAGCAAGCTAGCAGATGAAAGTGAAATAGAATCATAATGAAGGAATAAAAGAAAGTAAAATTTTTGGTATCTTACTAAATTAAGATCCGGTCAACGGCTACGTTCGTTGTTGATGATATAAGTATTTTCCAAGGAAATTCTTTCTTCTCCAAATTATTACTATAAAATATATTTATTGTGATCTTGCTCAAATATCAATACTTGCGCGTATTAGATAGATCAATTACTAGATTCACTATAAGAGTAGGCTTTACATTCACTTCATCAGTAGATAAGTTAAAAGTACCTTACCTCACTTCCATATTGAAAAGTTTTACCATAGTCAATACAAGAACAGCTAAGAAGTAACTTTTTCCCGAACCAAATACACCTGTAATTGTTGGAAATTAATAAGTTCAAAAAGGCACTATACTTAGCCAAATAGAAAGTACCGTGTATTAACGTAATGGAATGAGGCAATTTCTCATTTCTTAGAAGTATGGAGCAGCATTCTCTCAAAGCTTGTGACTGATCCTGTACACATTTTAACCAAATAGACAATTATTGTACGATTTTACGACTTTAGTTTAAAAGAGCAAAAAATTAAGCAAAAATGCTCCAAGTAGACATACTGCATTGAGGTGGTGGGCAACTATCATTTCATTCAACAAAGAGCCCTATAAGAAATAATTCGTACTAGTAATGAAGGTTGATACAATTTCGGAAAAAGAATGATGAGATAAATACTATGATATTCGTGGTATATAGTCAGAAGATAAGATACAATATTATATATGCTTCTAGCTTAAATCTTAAAGTAGTAATCACCACATCAGTCTCTGGAACATCTATAGTATGATTCGAAGGAATACGGAAACGAAATCTGTTGCTCGCTGAGATTCTTTGCTGACTGACATTGAGAGCATTTGGACTAAAGGAGCGATAGTTATTATCTTTAAATTAAATTATTCATTACAACTAGGGGTATTTTATGCTTAAACCTTTGCAATAAATGAGGAAGTATTGGCATAGATTCTACGGTAATTTTCGTTGCTAGGTTATCTAGACAGGCGAATTCAGAACTTCCATTGCAGGCTAGAATGGCATTAACCGTTGCTAAATAATAAGCAAATAATATCGTAAATATATCATGTTAATATTTAGCGAACGACCATTGCCTATTAATAAGGAAATTAAATGATTGGTATCACTATAAACTATAAAAATATTTAGAGCTTAAGAAGTTTCTACTGACTTCCTGAGATCCATTTACTTGGCTGGAAACCGCTAGAAATTATGTAAGGTATCAATTTAGAGCTTTTAAGTATCGAAAGCATAGCTAGATATCAATTCGAGAATAAAGTTCTTCTTAACATATAAGGTATACCTGATTGGAACAATTTCTATTTCTGATGAAGAAGATGGACCATAAAACGTACTTTTGGCGATAAAAGTAAGTGACGGTTCGAAGCTAAGCTGTTGAGAAATTACCCAAATATCATCTACAAGGTAAGCCGCAGA